TGTGAATTGAGAAAAGCATATCAGAGGCTTTGGGAACCTAATGTATGTTCAAGAAAATGCAATAGAAAAATACTCTTTTTAACTAGTTTGACCATTAGATTTAAATGACCAAATTCATCAGTGCTAGCATTTAACCTCAGTCAGTACCTTCTGCGGCAGGTACTGTTCATGTGAAAAAAATAGTTTCTCTGTTTTGTTCACAGTGTTAATAATTTAAGGGTAGGTAACAAAGGACACTCTTGAACAAACACGATTGTATACTGGTTTAAGATGAGAATGTTTTTTCCTTACAAAACATATGTACAGCTGATCTCTAAAAGATACACATTGCAGGTACACTGTACCTCATAGCTAAGGAGGAAGGGGGATAAGGGGCGGGATGGGTCGAAGGACTTTGTTGTTCTTAAACTTCAACCTGTCAACCTGAAGATATTTTTGGCTGTTACAAATAGATATCAACATGGTCAAGAAGGCCAGCCACTTGTGGAACACTAGCTATTCTTGCTCCTATGTAATGAACGTTACGTACGTAGCTCCCAGAAGCACCATAGTCGTTAACCAGTGTCCTAGACTCACTGTCGTGACTGACGACTGACACGCCAACTCCGTTTTTGTCTGTCATGTCACAGTAAACAGTGAAGGGTGGGTAGCCGCCATCTCCATCTGGATCGATAACATAAGAGCCACTTGTGGCTTGAGGACTGTATAGTTTTATTTCACTGCAGGTTTTTCCTGAATTGAAATAAACAAAACTTAGTGTTACTAAAAGGCAATAACCAATACTTAAAGAAAAAATACGTGCTTCATCATCTCTCAGGGCAGTTCAAGTGCTATGTGGCCACTTTCGTTTCCCGCTACCCGCTTTTTCTTTGCCATACTGACAATCTCGAATTAGAGCTGTCCATGGCTACCGCTACCAAGGTGATATAAATGTACAAATGCGTAAAGTATTGACCCGAGAGCGCGGTGCAGTCACATGAGCATTGTTTGTCTGCAGTGTTCTTTGCCTTGTTAACTTGCTGGCACGAACAATTTTCGAAAATATTTGCCTTCCTTTTTTCTCCATAAATTAAATTCCAAAATCCCAAAACAGTGACAAAGCGACCTCGTTTTCCTCTGTAGTGGTAAACATAGCTTCGAGCGTACAAAAAGTCAAACCACTTCACAATAAATGACGCTGTTTAAACATCATCAAGTCTTTTCTTACCTTCAAAGTCAGCAACACTTGGATATTCTCGTATTTTCAAAAAGTTCTTACTATGAAAGTTTGGCAAAACACCCAGTTCACGACAGCGAATTTGTTCTGCTTTATATTCACCGCCTAGCGCGGTGAATATAACGTCATTGTCCGAGATAGCGAACCAATCAGATTGCTTGAATCACCAAGATCACTGAGTGTGTATATGCTAAATATAAATATTGTATCATTGGTTTTAATTGCTCTGTTCGGAAAGACGCCTGAAGTTGAACATTCCGATCTGCGCGCCAAACACAGGCAGCCCAACCGGAAAAGTTATCGCGTGCCAATGTGCACAATAGAGAAACTACTCTATAATTATTTGTTTTATCATTTTTTTTCTTCATCTATTATCTATTATCTTTATCTATTATCTATTATTGTAATAAACAGACAATAGAGATTAGAGTCACCCGTACATGATATATGACGCGGCTCAGTGGTTGAGCTGCCTGTGATCATAAATGCATAAACCTGGTATGACGAACTGTCCAAGTAAATTTATCCGCAGTAAAAGAGAGGGGATCAAGCACAGTAATGTCAATGTTGCTAAATGATATTTTGTTTTCAACAGGATGATGACGAGGAAGTGGCAGTCAACCCCAAGCACTCAACTCCTTGTCGTCATCTTTCAGAAAGTGAAATAAGCCAATCGACCCCTTACACTCCACGGTTTGAAGATATGTCAGCTTCCTTCCAGACAGTACCTGATCATGATACAGTACCTGAGTCCCCCCAAGATCTGCTAAACAAGTTCCTGATTGCAAAGGATGTCAGTCCTATCAAGCACTCCCTTACGATACCCTGGGAAGAGGCCTCTGAAAGAACAAAGCGAGGCTACATAAGAACAGCCAAACAAGTGGTTGAAGCCTGTTTGGAAGAAATAGCGCCAAATGACTCTGATATGCTCTTCCACTCATTGTACGAGTCAAGTGAATCTGACAGTACGGTTGATTCAGCCTTACTCAAAGCATTAGCAGAGTGCTACAATAACGCTCAACACTGGAGTACTAGACGGCAAGTGCTATCTATAATGGCAGATCAAGTAACCTTCAAGCAACTCAAGCATTTTGTACCAAGTCTTACAAGATACCGTTATAACATTGCACGCCATCATCTCTTACTTCAAGGGCAGAGGAGCTGTGCCCCAGGTGGAGAAGAATACCAGAATACGCATTCCACAAGCAAAGCTCGATCATTTTCTCTCATTTTTAACTAGCTCAAATGTGGTTCAAGATTTGCCATTTGGAGAAAAAACTCTTG